TTTTTATATGGAATTTTACTATGTTAAAGTTGAAACCTTTTTTATTTAAACAGAAAAGGGGAGGTGATGTGGGATTCCCCTCTGAATGCTGTGATTTTCATTAATAAATAAAGAAAGTGCTTTGAACCTATAGCGGAGAAGGGCAGAACAGAGGTGAGCGGAGAAAACTAAACTGAATGCTCAGAGGAAGAAGGTGGCAGAGTGGGGAGAAGCCATGTAGCCCCACCGGAGACAGACGCTGAAACTTTATCCTGTAAGCTACACCCTCGTGGTGATACACAGATTAATGGAAATGGGTTAAATTAAGATGTCAGAGCTAGCCAATAAAAAGCTAGAACTAATGGGTCAAGCAGTGATTTAAGTAATACAGTTTCTGAGTAGTTACTTTGGGAGTCTGGGAAACTGGAAACAAACAAGCAACCTTCTTATAACATCAACACAGACATAAGTGATCAGATATACATTTTTTATAGTCAGTTTCTGTCAACATGGGCAGAGTACTATCACCTTAAGAATTAACAAACTCGTCTCAAGACATCCTCTGTAAACCTTGGGGAACTTCCTTGAACTTTTTGTCACTTGGTTTTAAACTTTTATGGTTTTGTTTGGCCTCACAAATCCTGAGTAAATGAGTTTACATCTTAACAAGAGCTTTATACATATCAATGGTTTGGGATGAGGGAACAATCTTTGTAAACAAGAACTCGCAGGGGAAAAATCCTCAGAGCTAAAGATCTTTAATGCTGACCTGTAATTATAGCCTTAGATGAAAGCCATGTTGTTCATGTTTTTTAATCCTCATTAGAAGTCATTGAGGACATTACCTCTTCTTTGCTTTTTTTCCCAAGTTTTTTCTTACCTGCATAAATGGAAGCCCCTTTTAAGTCGTGTGTGTGTGTGTGTGTGTGTGTGTGTGTGTGTGTGTGTGTATGTGTTAGTTTTCCCCAAACCTTTCGACCCTAATTGTATACAATTGGCTGGAATAGCCTTGTTCATTTCTTTCTTCTATGGAGGATTAATAATATATTGATGTGGGATTCCCCTCTGAATGCTATGAATATGCTTTATTACCATTGGTTAATAAAAAAAGCTGCTTTGGCCTATGCCAGGGCAGAATAGAGCTGTCAGGAAAACTAAAATGAAGGCAGGAAGAAAAAAGGCAGAGTCAAAGAGACATCATGTAATTGCTAAAGGAGAAAGATGCCAGAACCTTACCGGTAGGCCACAGCCTCATGGTGATACACAAATTGATAAAAATGAGTTATTTTAAGGTTTAAGAGCTAGCTAGGAATATACCTAAGTTATTGGTCAAACAGTGTTGTAGTTAAAATAGTTTCTATGTGGTTATTTGACTCTGGGCAGCTGGAAAAAGAAAAATCAGTCTCTGCTTACAATATAAAACAAATCCAAATATATAACAAATTATTTAAGGCAGGCACAGTTGAAGATATGTAGATGTCAGTTGTTAAACAAAAAAGATAATATATAGCATCTTCTTGATAAGAGAAAGTTGGATATAAATTATATAAGGAAATATAAAAAATAACTTTGTCTTCAAGAAAACTTTGAGGCAGACATATTTTGTCTGAAGTGGGTGGTAGATCAGAACCCATCTGCAGAGTCAGCTTTTTACAGCACATGACAACTTATTGACATCATCTAAGTCAAAAAGACATTGTTTAATAAAACTGAACCCAGTCGTTTATATTGGACAGGATCCTTAGTCTTGAGTCCAGGGACAACTAGATGGATCCAAAGCATCCATTCTTTTTCCTCCACATGGAGCTGTCCAAATGAATCTTAGGTCTTGGGTCTGATAGAGATCTTGGTCATTTTCTTCTTACCCCTCAGATGCCTTTGTGGACAGCTTGGACCTGCTGTACAAGGGGCATGCATGTAGAAACTCCTTCATCACATCTTCTTTCCCTTCCTTTGGGCAGGTTGAAAGGTTTGATTCTAGTACATTCCTTAGTTGTTCAGGAGATAGGGGATGCTTTCACAGTTCAGATATGAAGTTTGCTTCCTTATACTGTCCCCACCCTTGTTTCTTAGGATATGGTTCGAGTCATTCCTCCATATGGGATAGAAAGGCAACTGCCTTGGTGGTGTGGCTCATTGATTTCTTCACAGGTTGCCTACGCCTTCTAGAGAAAGCTTCTTGAACTATCCATCTTTCCCCACACCTCCACTACCCCCTGATGCATTTTCATTCTCTTCTCCAATTCTTGCTAAGTGTTTTTTAAGACCTGTTGCCTGGCAGGCGGTATGCCAGGCACAGTGCATGTGTCCTTGGCTTAACCACAAGTCTGTAATTTCAGTATCTTTCTCATCATTCACAGATGGAAATTTGGTGAAATCTGTGGTGATATTTTGTTTATGCTCTAACAAAGAAAGCTTGTCTGAAGATCGAGGGTGGAGCTAGCCACTAGCTAACCATAGAGGTCAGGCAGTGGTGGCACCTTTAATTCCACCACTTGGGATCTCGTGTCTTTGATTCCAGTATTTGGGAGGTTTGATACAGGAAGTGATATGGCTGGGTGGAGAGAGGAATATAAGGTGGGAGGAGACAGGAGCTCACCCCTTTATCCATCCGAGATTTTGTAGAGATAGGAACTCTAGTGACTGGCTTCTCTGCTTCTCTGATCTTTCAGCTTTCACCCCCTAACATCTGACTCCAGGTTTTTATTGTTAGAATTAGAATTAGAATTCGCGCTACAGAAATCAGTGCAGACAACAGAGGAATAAGTGACTGTTTTAGGAGTGAGATCCCCAGACTCTCGTACTGCAAGCCAAGCGAGGCCTGTGACGGGCAAAATTACAGCAAAGAAGGAGAGACAGAGGAACTGCAATAATACAAGTTCAAAGTACCAGGACTCGATCCCAGAATTCTTAAAGCTGAGCCTTTCTTGCCCAAGAAACTACCTTGTCAGGCTGTTGGTTTTGATTTGGAAACTGATAAATGAATGGAGGAATGAGAGTCAAGGAAGAAATCGGGGGATGAACACTTTGAATTTCATTCCAGAACTTGCTCTGTTGTGGAATATCCCTTTACACTGTGTGAACATATGTCACTATGATTGGTCTAATAAAGAAGCTGGCTGGCCAATGGCTGAACAGAATAAAGCTAGGCAGGAGAGCTAGACTAGGAGAATGCTGGGAGGAAGAGGGGCAGAGACTAGAGTTGCCATCCAGAGCAGAGAGAGTAGATGAACATGCCATGTTATTAAAGGCACCACTACACGGCAGAGCATAAATAAGGGATGGGGGTTAACTTAAAATGTAAGAGCTAGTTAGTAATAAGTCTGAACTATTGGCTGAGCATTTATAATTAATACAAGCCTCAATGTGTTTATTTGAGAGCGGCTGCAGGACAGGAAAACTCTGCCTACATTTCCCTACTAAGCTCTTGGGAGATGTTGTGAGTGCCCCATAAAAAAGGTACCTCTGTCTTCACTGTGTGCAACTTAAACAGCTTTCCCACCGAACAACAGCATGCTTATCAGAGAAAATGGTGACACACTGGTTAGTGGGAGAACCAAAACAGCAGAAAGCAGCGGCTTGCTTCGAGGCCTGTCACTAACCACGGTCTCCCAGGAGCCCTTTGCTCCCTAGGAAGAGGGAGGAAACAATCAATTGCTGACCAGGTTCTTTTCAGCTGTCCACTGAGAAGAGAGCCAAGGAGCAGCAGAAGTTCCCAAAGAAAATGACTGAAGCAGAAGCCTGGAAAGTGCAGCATTTGTAGATGGACAGGCAGCAGGAAGGAGAGCAGTAAAAGGAGGAGCTGGCCAGCCTATGGAAAGACCTAGAGCGCAAAGCAAATCTAGTCCGCGCACCATGTTTGTGCAGTGCTTGTCGTGACCAGAAGAGGGCATAAGGTTCCTAAAACCAGAATTAGAGACCTCAGTGAGCTGCCCTGTTGGGGCAGGGAATCAAACCAGGGTCCTCCTAAGATCCCCTAGTACCCCTAACTGCTGAGCCACCGCTTCATCCCTCCTATCTGATGTTTTAAGTCTTTCTTCAGAAATCACATCTTATTGGGGAAGCGGGTAATTTGAGAGGACGGTCCAGGGACTTCCTGAATCAAGGCTGTACTCAAAGGTTAGTGCTGCGGAACCTCTTTCTGTTAGAATACCCTTCCATATTCCCTCTGCCTCCTCTCCAGATGCCATTCAATCACAAATGTTCCATTGTCAGCAGAGTATCTTTTCCCCAAGTGAGCTATTTAATCATCTGGCAAATTCTTCCTTCTATAAGACACGGCTCGCATAAAATCCTCCTCAGAGATCTTTACTTAAGAAGCGTGGGTTGACTCAGGAGGTAGGAGGGGGTGGCAGGCTTACTGCGCAAGCCTGGCAGCCTGAGTTTGAGCCCCCTCTATTTGCCATTTTACTGCGCCCATTTTTGTTGAGGTCCTGCAAGATGGTTGATTGGAACCTGACAAATTCAGGCCAGCAGTTTTGGTTGTCAAGGGGATATTAGGGCCCAGATCTACATCTAATTTGAGGCCCAATTGTTTGAAAAAAATTTTAAAGCAAGCCAAAGGACTGTCTTTGGGAACAGAGGGACTATTGCCTGTGTTTGCTGGTCTAAAAAACAGGCCAAGGGCAGTTTCCTGGTCTGGAACGGACTCCGGGAACAGTTTTGTTGGAATGAAATTCCCAAGAGTTTTCCAAGAGAAGAATGAGAGAGTCCTCAAGCAGAGTCAAATTCCCAGGATGCCTCTGTGAACAAACGGATCCTTACCCACATGTGTGCTAAGACCGATGCTGGGTGCAGCTCTAGAAATAGCATAGGTGGGCTTCGGGGACTCGAGGTCTTCTCAGAGGCTAAGAACAAGAAAGCTTTCCAATTCTGACGACACGACTTCAAGCTAACCCCCACCCTGTCACGGCTTCATTCATGTCTCAGTAAGGCTGCTATGGCGCCAGATGGGTGAAGTCTCCAGTTAGGGACCTGCTGTTTAGCCTTAGTGAGTCCTAAGGGTGGAGCAGCACCTGTAGAGAAAGAAACTTGAGATAAGACCTCAAACAGCTTTTTTTTTTTTTTGACACAGAGGTGCCTTCTTAGGCTGTGACCACACCTTGATCAGGACACAGGATACAGTCACTCAGAGACCAGAGTTCAGGAGACTGCAGATCACACGCTTCAAGCTAGGGCTCGTAGCTAAGAGTGGCAGAGGGAGCAGGACTCAATGGACAGAATGGGGAGTTAGTGGGTTCCCTCAGACAAGCTGCTTTTGAAACTACGGGGTCTGTTGTCTGCTTTTGCAGCCACTGGGTAGCTGGGGTTGGGGTTGTTTTTCTTCTGCTGTCTCCAAACATCCGACTTCCCAGAACTTGACTTTGGGAGAGGAACTTTCCTTTCTTGAGCCCTAAAATCTTCTAACATTGACAAGGGGCCATCTACTGTATAGAAAAGTTCTTTCGTTTACGAAAAGCTAGTATTAAAGTGGGCAGTTCCTGGTCTTCAAACAAAACGACTTCAGTGGCTGGTTCAGAAATTCCCCGCTAAGGACGGAGCTTGGGGACAGAGTGGGGCTACAAAGTCCTTGGTTCCACCCCCAGAACAAGATAGGAGAAAGGGCTGGATATGAATGTCCCAATACCACGGTGCTTTGGGGTGATGACAGGTGGAGGCCTTAGACTAGGAGGCATGAAGTCTTGATTCTCTTCCTGGTCCACTGTGTCCCTGGGTGGGTCTGGCAGACACAAGCTCACTCACCGTGGCAGGTGTTAACCAAGGCAGGGAGTCCCCAACTACTAAGGAAATGCAAAGGAAGCTTTCAATGACTGTGGCTGGCCTTGACCCTCACAGAGTTCAGATTTCGTTCATTAAAATCGGAGCAATAATTCCTTGTTAATTACCTCATGTTGCTGTGGGGACCTCAAGGCTAAACAAAGCTCTCAGCAAAGTATAAAGAGCAGCTCAGAGTAGGACTGGTGACTAGCGACGTCATAATCTGCACGTCTGAAAGTTTTTTTCATTTTTTCATTCGGCTGACTGGTGCAGCAGAAAAGCAGCAAGCAGGGGACGAGACCGCTCCGTCGCGCTGGTACCTGCTCTGGAAAAAGGAAAAAAAAAGAAAAGAAAAGAAAACAAATCCAATTCGGCCTGAACCTAAGGAGAATCCCTAAGCATCTCGAAAGTCAGAACCTCGGAAGGTGACACCAGAGTCGTGGTGTCGGGAAGCCATTCTCCCAGCGCTGGGTACCTGCACAGCGGGCATCCTCAAACCCGCAATCCCAGGTTCGCCAGCAGCCGCCGGGTCGGCTCGCGGGCGCCTCCTGGCGGCACCTCCGACCACTGCGCTCGCCTCCCGGGGGCGGGGCGGGGCGGACGAGCCCGGGGGTAGGGGCAGGGGTTTGCGCGGCTTGATGACGTAATCTATGCGCCGGGCCCGGAAGGAAGTAGAGTGCTGAGGGGTGTGGCGGTTTCTGCGGTTGCACGGGGGGTTCAGACGTGTACGGAGCGCCTGGAGGGACAGCCTGGTACGCAGCCCCCGCCCCTCAGTGCACGTTGGGCCTCGCTGCGGCTCGGGGAATGGAGCTGACCCTGGCGCGGCTCCGGAGCTCTGGCTCCCGCTGCGGCTCGCCCTCGGTCCGCCCACCCAGGAGCCGAGAGAACCCCCGTGTGTCCAGTCTCCTTCCCACGGGTCCTTACGCGAGTCGGAGCGGAAACTCTCGGACGCGCCTGTCTCGCGGCGGAGGGCGGGCAAAGGGCGCGAGGTGGGGCGGGGTGGTGGTGAGGGCGTTTGCAGAGAGGACGCTCCTGCTGCTCGGTAGCTGGAGGCCGCCACGGTAAAAATAAGTTAGACCTGAGAGTTGGCATCCGCGCCCTGGGCCCGTGTGCCGGTCCGTCACCATAGTTTTTCCAGACGCTCCGTCGCATCTCGGTACCTGGATGTTTGGGAACCCTCCAGGAGTCCAGAGTATCCCAGCCTGAGGCACTCCCAGTTTCCTGTCCCCACGGGACTTGGGGGCAAAGGTTACGCGAGAGTTTTGTTAAGAGATCCGTCCTGTTTCGGTCCAGAGGAATAACTGGGAAGGTGAATGACAGGCCAGAGAGACTCCTACCTCGGAGCTCAACTGCCTGCTGCCTCTCTCCCCAGAGTCCCAAGGGAAATGACTGATGGTTTCCTTCGAAATGGCAGGCAATTAGAAGTAGGAGGCGCTGACCAGAAACACATAGCCACAGCTGCCTGTCATTTGACATCCTCTGTAATTTAAGCCAACCCTCTGCAGCTGCCTCTCTTCCCTCACTTATAAGTGGCTCCCGCGACAACACGTTAATGAGCAGTGAATAGAAGGCCTGTGTTTTGAGCCCTACCCGATTGGCACCGGATCTATCTTCCTTAGGTGGGGCAGTATCTGGACCTAGTGCCTCTTCGCTGCAGAGGGCATTATACTTCCACAATTAAGGGATGGGATGTTGACCGAGAACAAGGCTGAAATGAGCTGGTGGTCCGGCCGGCGCTGTGTTGGTTCTACAACAGGCCACCTGCGCATCACTTTCCATGAGCCTCTCTCAGTGGCGCAGCCTCTTCTCCTGCATGTCAGGCCACACATTGTCCCTTGTCTCATCTCCAGGATTCCGGTTCACTGATGGCTCAGTTGGGAGCTGTTGTGGCTGTGGCTTGCAGTTTCTTCTGCGCATCGCTCTTCTCAGCTGTGCACAAGATAGAAGAGGGACATATTGGAGTGTATTACAGGTAAAGCAGAGACGGGTGGCTACTTTCCTGTCACCGGCTAGCAGATCCTGCTAACATCTGTATATGTTGTTAAATAGGGAACCCTCTTCAGGTGCAGTTTCCAAGTCGGTGGCCATGGGTAAGGGTGTGTGTGTGTGTGTATTTATTTAAATTTAAAATTGTCTTTAGAATGTGATGCTGATACGTGTATTTATAGGATTAAAGGCAGAGATCTGAAGGAATCACTAGTCTTTCAAGGTCATCTCTGGGACACTGTTGTCTCTTGCATTGCTTGAAGAATCTTGTCTCCACACACCAGGCTACCTCTCCAAAAGCTGACAGTCCCAGTTCCTGATGACAGTTTGAAAAGTGTCACTCAAGAGAGACTGTTTTTTGTGTTGTTGTTTAGTTTTGTAGCCCTGGCTGTCCTAGAACTCAGTCTGTAGAGCAGGCTGGCCTCGAATTCAGAGATCCACCTGCCTCTGCCACCCGAGTGCTGGGATTAGGGGCATGCGCTACGGGGCCTGGCTTGAAAGACTGTTTTAAAGTGACATTTCAAGGAAGTGTAAAGGCTCTGCAGGCTGATTGCCACCAATCAGGGAAGCTTTGGGAGAGCGACTCTTTAAATACTCTTGACTTGCTTACTTTCCAGGGACTTCTCTGACCAAGGTTTTTGTTTTAGGTTTTAGACAGGGAATTTGCTTGACCAGTAGTTTGGTTTGTGGTACTGAGGACTGAGCAGTGTCTTGAGCTGTTGTTCTACCACTGAACTACACCCCCAGCCCTTGCTGTAAGCTTTTATGACACCGCCCCCTTTTTGAGAAAGGGTCGCACTGTGTAGATCTCTCTGGCTAGTCTGAAAGGCTTTGTGTAGACCAGGTTGACTTGAACTCACAGAGATCCTCCTGCCCTGCTTCCCGAGTACTGGGATTAAAGGTGTGCGTCAACATGCCTTCTTTTTTGTGTGGGTCTTATGTCATGCTTTCTTATGGAATACAAATTCTAAGATGCTCATTGAATTGGAGTTGTAGCTCACTGGAAGCACTTCTAACATACTCAAGGCCCCTAATTAAAAATAATAATAAAAAGGTTTAAACTTTTGTTGAGTTCCCACTTGTTTAGTAATTTATATCTGCCATCTGCTTTCATGTTCCCCAAAGCTTTTAATTTTGTCATTCATATACAACTTGATTAGAAATATATGTCAAAAGATATATTATATATTTAATGTATATTGAAATGACTTTAAAAATGCCATTAAACGAAGTATGATGGCTCAACATCTGTAATTCCACCTCTTGGGTGAGGGCTGAGGCAAGAAGAGTACTATGAGTTTTAAGCCATCCTGGGCCTCATAGCAAGCACTGCACAAATCAGGGCTATGTAGCACCATCTGTCTCAAAATCAGATCATATGTGAGTCCTCAGATGCTTCTGGAACATGGGCAGGAAGGGCAAATGAATTACCCTCTTGCTCTACGCTGGACTAAAATTTTGGTTAAGATCCTCTCCCTTGCTCTGCTCTTTAAATCTTACTTGGCTCCTCTATCATGGGGTTCGTTACTTTATATTAAAGTATGTTTAAGGAGCAGGGTGTAACTCATGATAATATAGTACTTTACTAGAATGTGTGATACCCTGGATTCAACCCTAGCACTGCCAAAAAAAAATATTATTTTAATTGCCTGTGTCGCTGGCCTCCCACCAGTAATGCTGCTGGTTGATAACTGTATTCCTGGGTCTCACATGCTGGTGACTGCCACAGGCTCGGCAGCTGTGATGGACTCACCTCTCATCCTGTGTGTAGCCAAGAATTCTGCTGTCTTTGTTTTGCTTCCTCTCCATCATTACTTCTCAGGTGGAAAAGTATAATGGGTTTTGTTTTCCCATCAGGCTCCCTAGAATGTTCAAACCGAGACAGAAGGAAGAAAGGGAGAGGGGTGGACATTGTCATCGGCATGTGTCACTTTACAGTGTGTTTTTATAGGAGCAGAGAGATGATTAGCCCTTCAGTGTTGATCTAAGGCAGTGGTTCTCAACCTTCCTAATGCTGTGACTCTTAATACAGTTCCTCATGTTGTGTGAACCCCAACCATAAAATTATTTAATTGCTACTTCATAACTGTAATTTTACTACCATTATGAATTGTAATGTAAATATCTGTGGTTTCTGAAGATCTTAGGTAACCCCTGTGAAATGGTTGTTCAGCATACCCCCCAAAGGAGTGATGGCCCACAGGTTGAGAATCACTGACTGAAGGGATCCTGGGATATTGAACCTCCCTCTCTCCCTCCTCTACAGAGGTGGTGCCCTGCTGACCTCCACCAGTGGCCCGGGTTTCCATCTCATGCTCCCATTCATCACATCCTATAAGTCTGTGCAGGTACATGCGCTTGTGTCACGGGGTGCTTGGCTCTCTACAGGTTCGGGTTGTTACCTAATACACTGTTTGAAATCATTTAGCTGTTAGAGGAATAAAATGCCTTTTCAGAGGCTTACATGCCAGGCAGGGGGCTCTTAAAATATTACTTGATGATTAAAATAGCTGAATGGAGCCACTGCCTTGCCTTAGCCTATCAACCCCAAGTGGAAATTATTTCCTCACTTTCGAAGTGGGACTAAAGAAGAATTTGTTATAAATATTTAGAAGAAAAGTCAAGTATTTGTGTTTATTTATTAAATCACAGGTTACCATGACAGATTGAAATAAAAGATGGAATTTTGCTTGTACTTGTTTGAACTTCAAAAATGCGAACAATAGTTGTATGGGGAGGGCCAATGCCATGTAAAATAGCAGTAAGGCTAGTTGAGGCCAGCCTCCTGGCTGAGGTGAACTAAGTGTCTCTGCAGTATCTCCAGCAAAGAAAACTCAGCCACCCCAGAAAGGGGTTGGGGATGTCACAAAGAGACAGAGCTGGGGACAGAGGCCAGATACACCAGATACACCAGGCTGTGTGCTCAGTTCCCGGCAGAAAAGAGTGAGAGGGAGCGGAAGATAATTAGCCTAGCAGAGTGTACCCACCTTCCCTGTTAGTCTTGCCTTTGCCTTGCTGTGTGGACCTCACAGTGCTTTGGGTACTTTTTCTTAGCTGAGACTCACAGTAAAGCTAGCAGGTACTGTATTCTGAAACCAATCAGAAGGGAGTCTACTGCTTCAGCACTAGTAAAATGCATTCTTCAGGCTCCAAACTCAGTCGTTTTCTTTATGATTCTGCTTGTTCATATGTGCTTCACATACATGGACAAAGATTCAGCCTGTTAGGGGAATTAGATGTGACGGTCATGTTTAGCGAGGAGAAAGCTCGGTTCAAACAAGCAGTCAACTACAAAGACTTTGAGGCTTCCAAATAAATAGTGGGTTGCTCTCTGTCACAGCCCGTTTCACATTATTTCATGTTTCCTCTGTCTCCAGACCACTCTCCAAACAGATGAAGTGAAGAACGTACCATGTGGGACCAGGTAAGGTACCAAGAGTAAAGCTGAGGAGCCCAGCAAGTAAGAGGGAGGACTGCCAGGCGGCTGCAGAGAGACAGATGTGGAGGATAGTGAAGGAAAGGCAGTGCCTGGTGGGCGTGCTGGTGAAGCCAGGATGAGAGGCAAACTTCCGGGCACCCAGTGCACTCTGAAGCCTGCTAGTCCTCTTCATTCTTTTCCATGTAGTCCCTTTGATCAAAAGGTCCCAGTGACTCAGAAGATAGGAGCTACCCCTTTCCTTCCTGATGCTGCAAAGGGCTTGTCGTCTCCTTGTGGAGGTTATAAGCTCCGCACATCTGCTCAGAGGTGTGAGCTGCCCCAATTTCCATGAACACTGAACTCCTGTTCTTCTGGTCACATGTCTTAAGCCATCTCCTTAAGGAATTTCCCCAGATTCCAGAGCTCTGGTAACATCTTTGTCACGTCTCCCTCCGATAGTGGTGGTGTGATGATCTACTTTGACAGAATCGAAGTGGTGAACTTCCTGGTCCCGAATGCAGGTATGTCTTCTAGCCTGTCCAGCATGCTCACACTATCTGTGGGTCACACAAGCATTGAGAAGTGAAGAAGCTGAGAGAGTCTGGAGAGGTTTGCAGTCTTGGATCTTTCTTACACTGAGCCCTCTCCCTCCTCACAGTGTATGACATAGTGAAGAACTACACTGCCGACTATGACAAGGCCCTCATCTTCAACAAGATCCATCATGAGCTCAACCAGTTCTGCAGTGTGCATACACTTCAGGAAGTCTACATTGAGCTGTTTGGTAAGAGGGTGGTTGTCATCAGGGCAACTCCACCCTTTCCCTGAGACATGTCAGCCTTCAGCAACCCTCTGTCTGTCTGCTTCTGAGCTACCACGCCACAGAATGGGGAGTACACAGGAGCCAGACACCAAGAGAGTTCCAGATAATACTGAGAACAGCCAAACATGGTGGTCCATACCTGTAATCCTCACACTCAGAAGGCTGAGACAGGTGGAAAACAAGTTCAGGGCCAGCTTGGGCTACAAAGTAAAACTTTTCCTAAATAAATAAACCCCACAAAAGAAAAAATATTATGTTAGAAACTAGGGAAGATCCTTGGGGTAGTCAGACATAGCACTGCAGTAGGAGTGTGATGAAGGAGTCGTGGCTGGTCTGAGCAGAGGCCTGGAACAGACTGTCCCGGGAATACTGTTCTATAATGAGAATGCACTCATTTCTAGAAGAATCTGACAAGGCCATGTAGCGTAACATACTCATTTTAAAATAAGTATGCTGAGGCCAAGAACGAGAGAGTGAGAGGGCTGTTACTGGTTAACAACAACTGCGGCCGGGCCTCCTCCCTGCTTCCCGTGAGTGTCTTTCCCACGGCGTGCAGGCGCCAAGGGTGTGTGGTGTGAATGGTGGGCTCACGCTTCATTCCAGAAGTCTGCATTGCTCCAAGACAATCAAGGCTACATAGTGAGACCCTGGCTCAAAATAATAATAAAAATAATCAAATGGTTAGTTGTTTTACACTTTTACTCTGAGATTTAGGAAATCATTCAAATCACTTTCAATTTTTCTGTAGTAGATAATGAACCTAAATTCACTTTAAAAGTTTGTACTCTTTTGTTGGTTTCCAATTGATTATATTTTCAAAAAAAAACTGAAAAATTTACTGTTTTTTTTTATGTCCCGCCAGTAGAATTTAAAGAAATTAATTTTATAGCCATTGTTTTAGGACTTGTACCTTTTCAAGGCATATGAAACACCAAAAGACAAAGGATCTCTAATGTCCCCAGAAGGGAATTAAAATACATCGTTTCATATTTGAAAAACTGTTGCTGTCCAAACAGATACACATAGTGCTTACTAAACTGTTACTTCTGTACAGAGGAAAGGGTTTATTTGGCTCACACTTCCACATCAAGGTCATCCATCACTGAGGGAAGTCAGAACAGGAACTGGAGGCAGACACTGAGGCAGAGGTCACGGAAGAATGCTGCTCACTGGCTGGCTCTCCGTGCTACACTCAGCTTGCATTTTTATACAGCCCAGGAGTGGCATGGCGCAGAGTGGTCAAGAAAACACCCCATAGGGGCTGAAGAAATGGCTCAGTGGTTAAGAGCACTGACTGCTCTTCCAGAGGACCTGGGTTCAATTCCCAGCACCCACATGGCAGCTCACAACTGTCTGAAAATCCAGTTCCAGAGGATCTGACACCTTCACACCAATGCACATAAAATAAAGATAAATAAATCATAAAAAAAATCTTAAAAAATAAAATAAAATCAGACTTTCAATTCTTTAAAAAAAAAAAGAAGAAGAAGAAGAAAACACCACATAACCTTCCCATGAGTTAGTCTGATGGGAACAGCTCTTCAGTTGAGGTTCCCGTTCCCCAGTTGTCTCTAGTTTGTGTCATAAGAATCAAAATATAGTAATTAACCAGGTGTTTCTTTTCTTCTCTCTCTTTCTCGTGTGTGTGTGTGTGTGTGTGTGTGTGTGTGTGTGTGTGTTGCTAGATGGAGTTCAGGCCTGCCTCCTGCATGCCCAGGAGTGCTCTGCCACTGTTTCACTCCAAACCAGAAGCTTCCCATGTTGGGTACTAGCTAGCTTCCAAAGGAAATTCACTGTTCCTTGGTAGCTGTGGCTTGGGCACAGCTGACTAATGCAGAAGGCAACTCACGAGAACAGTGGTGACTGTGCTCTGATATCCTAGCCTGGCTCTGCTGACTCTTCTTCCAGGATCTCGGTGAGGCCAGAGAGGCAGCTCCAGTGTTGCTGTTCATGCAGCGGATCGGTGGTAGCCTTTCCCACACTTGCCTGTCAAACAACACATTTGAATTCCAGACTAGGAACCAGAACCAAAGCAAATATATGAAAAGACATGAGCTGGACTGGGAGATGGCTCAGTAAAGTGCTTGCCTCAGACATGTAAGGGTCTGAGATTGATCCCCAGAACCTAGAGCAGGTGGAGGTAATAACACGGAGGACTGACAGGAGGAAGCCTGGGCCTCGCTGGCCAGCCAGTTGAGCCTAATCAGTGAGCTGAAGACCACTGAGAGACCTTGTCTCAAAGGAAGATGATAGTGTCCTGAGGATGACTTCCATGGTGCTCCCCTGACCTCCTTGAACACATGCTCACACCCACATAAACAGACAGCAGACATTAGACAAGGATGAGCTGATTTTCAGAACAGGAAATTTTATTTTCTCCTTGTGTTCTTAGAATTCATAGTGAAAGCAATATGAGGTTCTCCTGGACATCAAGCCAGGGTTTTTGTTTTGTCTTCTTGTGTGTATGCGCACGTGCCTGCATTTGTATAACCAAATGAGTGGGTGCCATGTGTGGTGGAGGGGAAGTGTCTGCAGAGGCCAGAGAGTAAGTCAGCTCCTTTGTCATTTGCATAACCAAATGAGTGGGTGCCATGTGTGGTGGAGGGGAAGTGTCTGCAGAGGCCAGAGAGTAAGTCAGCTCCTTCGGAACTGGAGTTACAGGTGCATGCGTGTGGCACATGGGACTGGTAACTGAACTTGGGTCATCTGGAAGAGCAGCAAGCCATGTTTGTTTTTTCTATGGGGTCTTAGGCTGTAGCTCAGGCTGGCTCGGAACTCACTGTGTAACCCAGACTGGTCTCAAATTTATGACACTCCTGCCTCAGCCTCTCTAATGCTGGAGTTATGCACATGAGCCCTGCTCTCATACCTCCAAAATTAATTCTGGATGTGATAATATCTTTAATACTGTAGCAAGTGTTTTTGTTTTGTTTTTTAACTAATAAAATTACTAGATTTAGCAACCACCTTTTGGTGATGAGGCGTCATAGTGTAGCCCAGGGCAGCCCTATGGTCCTCCTGCAGTTTCCCAGTGATGGTGACAGGCATGTGCTTCCATGCCCAGGTTGCTCCTTTTCTGAAAACCTGACATAGCCATTTTATCCTCCTCCAAGGAGCCATGGGCCTGCCTTCTCTTGATGCCAGTTGGGAAAGTCTGCTCAAGGAACGTTTCAGAATTGTTTTTGTTTCTTAAGCTCAGGCACCCTGGAAGTTCTGACTAGTGTTTTAAACAATGAAGGGGCTTTATTTTGAAGCCAAAGTGAGAAGTTCTGCTTAGCTCTCCCTTCACGGAGAACCGCTCCAGGGTCTCACCTGGGTTCCGGTGTGTTAGGTACAGTGTTTGGAAAGGCGAGTCAGTGGGCCATTGCTTTTGCTTGTGCTTTCCCCACATTCTTCTCTTACCTAGACAGTAAACAGCTCCCTTTGTGTCTTTCTTGATTCCAGATCAAATTGATGAAAACCTCAAGTTAGCTTTGCAACAGGACTTGACTTCCATGGCCCCAGGTCTTGTTATCCAGGTAAGCATTGCCTCAGTGGGGAGTGCTTGTATTTTACCGTGCATGTTCTCTCCTAAGGGATACCCTTTTAGCGCAGGGACACCAAGAGCCAGATGGCTCTTACATCCCTGGCCATTTTCATTCTCCCTTCAGTTGTTACTTGTGTCCTTCTCCAGGCTGTACGAGTGACAAAGCCCAATATTCCTGAGGCAATCCGCAGGAACTATGAATTGATGTGAGTATGCCCTGTGCCTAAGCTGTCCACCACGAACTCTTCCTAACGCATCCCCAAGCAGCAAGCTCTGAGCTTTCCCTTCCTTGAGCATTTGTTAGTCTGTTGTACTATAAGGTTGGGCAGGCATGTCAGCACTTGGCCACAGCGGAGCCCTGGAGAGAAGCAATGCTTTTAAAATGTGAGAGAGTCATAGCAGAAGTGGAGATAACAGGGACAGATGATAAGTTTGCTGGCAGGTCTATTTCCTTAAAGTGGAATGTGTTTCTCTTTTATTTTACTCTGAGACAGGGCCTTGAGTATCCAGGCTAACCTCAAGCTTCTATGCCTAAGCTGTCCCTCTGCCTTAGCTTCCCAAGTAGCTGGGACTACAAGCATACACCTAGGCATTGTGTTTTATTTCTCACAAAAGAAAGCCTTAGAATAGATCAGTAAAGGCTGAGTCACTGAGTAGCCTTGGGCAGGAGAACAAAGACACCCTAGTGCGCTGCACCTCAGCCAGAATTGGGTTTCTCCGTGGAGTACTGAAGGTCTCCAGAAGCTACCTAGGACAGCCTCACAGCTGTGTGCGTCTTCCTTCCAGGGAAAGCGAGAAGACGAAGCTTCTCATTGCTGCCCAGAAACAGAAGGTGGTGGAAAAGGAGGCAGAAACAGAGAGGAAGAAGGCCCTCATTGGTCTGCACATGGTTCTCTAATCCTTCAGGGAAGAAGGGCTGGGGATGATGGGATGTGTAAGGAAGGCCAGGGCACACTTAGGCCCTCCCGAGTGCTTCCAGTATGCTGGGGTGGCGTTCATATCCCCAGGAGCCCAGTGGAAATGGTCGGGCCGTGGATGTAGGTCGTGAGTCTGAGATTTTCATGTGGGGAGTAATGCAGTCGCCATATCACCACCAGAGAAAAGTGCTGTCATTTGCTTGGACTTTTCTGTTTGGTTGGTTTCTTAACTTTTATTTTGTGTGGTGTGTGTGTGTGTGTGTGTGTGTGTGTGTGTGTGTGTGTGTGTGTG